CCTTTCAGCAGCTCATCCTGCACCACTTCAGCCTTCTCTCTCTCGATGTACATCAGACAGATGTCTATGCCTAGCTCCTTAGCCCGGGCCTTTGGCTGGTTGTACACTTTGGTCACCACGCCCGACACCACCTCACCTGTCGTCCTGAAGCAAAGGGCAGTAAGACAAACACAGTCCTGTCAGAACGGCCCGGCCATACTTATGGACATTCATATCACTGATTTCCATTAGAGGCATTTGTGTCTGACCCATTACAGCCAGAGTGAAAATCAACATGCATAGTTAAAACCTATTGTAGATGGGTATAAATAACAGTGAATAGCTCTGGCAGATTTAGGTTGTTAGAGTAATGCAGTTCAGACTCATCTACACCTGAAACTACAGCCAATTTTGACAACACAAAAGCAAATACAACATTGAAGGTGATAGATTTTATGATGCTAAGAAAGTTTTAAATCTTTGCAAGCTGAGTTACTTAAAAATAATAACGTCAATGTAACACACGAATGAAACATGACTTTGAAAATGACTGCAAGACACATGATTGGGGAATCAGAGCTTAAGCAGAAGAGTAAGGCTGCATTCACACAGACATTTGGCTTATAATAAAACACAAGGGGGTGGAGGGGAAAAACAAAAGGCTCTAACAAAGAAGTAGCTGCCTTGATCGTATTACTTCTCCACAACAATAGCATGCTACCTGTTCACTAGCGGGCAGATTTTTGTTCAAGCAGCCACAGCAGAAAAGATTTGATTTGTATTAGCAATACTTCAGCACAGCTGCGATATGGCTGACGAGACAGTGGGTACAGTGGACTGGACTCTGTCTAGGTTGGTGACTCAGCAGGACTATAACAACTACAGGATTACTACTATTCAGATGCAGCCTGCTTAGGTGTGGCTGACCTCTCTCTGTGGACATTTCTGACTCAGCCATAATTGATATAATAGCTATATTTGATTTAGGCTTAACTGTTCCACTGCCCCGGTAACATTAATATTTATAGCTTCCATGAAAACCTGCTGCCGCCTTTGAAAGCAGTGGGGAGTGTGTTTGTGTTGTTGGTGCTGCTGAAAACCCGTTGACCCATTAAAAGTAAAATCTCTAACATCTCTTCCCTGAGACACACTGCCCATGATCTGTGTTTGTTTCTTTATCACTGTGTTCTCCAGAATTGTCACAGCTCATTACTCTAACATGCACAAATTTCATTGATCTCCATATCCCATTTATTCTTATCCATCACAGTTAGAAAATTAAACAAATACAACATCCTGATCTACAAAAACTGTTACCCCATCATCTCGTATCTACTGTATTACAAGGATTTCTCCACACTGTAACACATGGGTGCCAGGCAGTAAACAGACCAATTCCACTTATTCAGTAAACAGAAAACATCTCAGTGTTCAGTCAAACACACGCCCCAGATCAAATGCACATCGTGCCCTGAGGGCCTAACAGAACAGACCAACTGGGGCTGACACATACAGTATTATCAGGATCACCTGCCTGGTATCTCACCATAAATAACAGTCAGTCAGGCATCAAGTCACTGCTGATAAAACATTAAATTCCCAGCAGGGCTTTGGCCAAACATAGCAGGACCTGCGTGGGTACAGGCACAGTGTTCATGCTATCCAACATCATGCAAGACAGACAAGTAATTTTGTTGCACCCATTACTTACTTGCCAGCTACATGGGCATTCTCAACAAAGGCCAGAGCAGCCTCCAGGCCCTTAAGCTGAGCCACCGCATTTGAATCAGTAACAAATTTCTTTATGAGTCCCAGGTATTTTGCCCACTCTGGATTCTTCTCATCATCTATCCTCTGAAACAGCTTCAGCGCTTCCTCATAACCATTGAGACGAGCTTTCCACACCTGAAAACAGAGAAAAGTTGCAGAGAAAAGGATGAAAGACAGAACGACAAAGGGGTAAAGAAAGTTAAACAAATGCCAGCTAGGATCTGTCAAATTCATTCAGTCAAGGCAGTTTTTATCTAGCCTCATAAGCGCCGGACAACAGGCCTGTTCAGAGCCGCCGTTATCAGTCAGGAGGACCACACTGGCTGACATCTTTCCTTCTGACTTTACTACCCAGTTCAAAGCAGGATTTCAGCTATAGTTTCATTACTAGCCAAAAAGATCTTTGTTTGGATTACAAAGACAAATCAGTGCTGTTCAACAGCAGTAAAGCAGAAAACTAAATTTAGCCAATGGTCTCACTAAACTTTAAGCTTTGCTTGCTGTTCTTGCTCTTGTTTCACTTCAGCAATGTAGCCCAAAATTAACTCTGGCTATACATGCTTATCAGGAGTAAAACCAAAACATGCTAGAAGTATCTGTTTTGATTAGCCAATATAATCGTGTTGTAGAAGGAAAAAAAGTGGCATCTCACCATTTATACTAGTATTTTATACACTTAAATTGTGTATTCATTTAAAACTTGCTTGGGAATTGTGTCACATCATGTAGTTACACACTGTAAAATCATTTTTCTTCACACCACACATTTTAGCTCCAGTCTGCCATTAGCAATGAACATCAGAATCTTCAAGCTTAGTGACTGGAGGTTTCTTGGGGAGATGCGACTAGGATTTTATGTACATAGGCATGTGCGCCTTAAACCTCTAAATGAAAGATACAAATATTTACTAGCATAGTTGTTAATATCCAATTTGTTAGGGACACCAAGCAAAAAAAATTTTAGGGCTCTTATATTAATTATTTTTAACTCCATGTACCTAATAAACTGGCAACTTAGTGCATCAAGAAACTAAGGATATCTGATGCAACTCCACACACTTTACAACTCCATATATCTCATAGGATTTGTGTAACAAATAATTCTCAACTGAAGGCGTTTACACCTTAAAAGGTGTAAAAGGAGGGATTCCCTAACAAGGCTGGTGTAATATTGTCTTTTTCAACAAAATTTATGAAAAGACCCAAATCAACATTGTGTTAGCCTGTCTCTTCCTGTTTGAAGCCATTCATCCCAAAGCCCTGATTCCTACTAAACATGTAAATAGGGCTGTGATGACACACTTAGCTCAAGAGACGATATAAAATACTGGGTTCACGAGTATAAGATGAGATTTTAACACTATTTTTATGAAATGATGAATATGACAATGCAAAAGAATGCAGGTGCATTTTGAAATGTTTTAACTAACCATGTGGTAATGACTGTCACTTCAGTGAGTGTGAATTATCATATGCAGTAAAAGACAACAATGAGCAGGCACTGTAAAAGGTTTGGCCACAGACTCACCTGACCGGCTTCTCTCCTGCGTGATTTCACAGGAGTCTCTTCAGACCTTCGAACTGTGCATGAACTATGCATGAGCTTCTATCTTCTAAGTGAAACTGTGTGTGACCTTCTAACTGAATTCCTTTCCAATAAATTAAACATAGAAAAGATGGTGGGGGCATCTTCTATGCTAATTTCACCCTCACCCTCCATCAACACCGGCTGCTGCTCTGGTACTGTTATGTACCCTCTGAAAAATGTGATAAAATAAACAGCTGTAATAAAATAAAAAAAAAACTATTATTCTGACCTTCTAAATCATCTTAAAAAAGTTAGTCTAACACAGGAATACATAGAGTACAAGCATCTCCTGTCAATACTTGACTTAAAGGATATACTTGTAGAGTGACAATACAGAATAAAACTGAGAACAAACAGCAATTAATGAATCAGTCACCTTGTGTTCACATTTCTGGTCGATGGGAAGCTTCATCCACTCGCTATCGTCCCCCATGGTAGCCACTCAGGGGGTGGGCTTCCCCAGACGTACTTAACTGGAAACAACAGCATTATCGTCACAAATTACATTTGGCATATTTCATCCCTACTGCTACCGAGGAATAAATAAACCCTGCTTTAACCCTGATTGCTAGTTTTGTGGAACTCTGCAACCCCAATTTAGGACCACTGTAACCTGCTGGCATGGATCAACGATCAACCAACCATCCACTCATGCCACCCTAGACGTAAAGCACAGTTCAGGCTGAGGCTAACAGTAATGTTATTTTTACATCATCTTCTTTCAGCTGCTCCCGTTAGGGGTCGCCACAGCAAATCATCTGTGTGGAAACAGATGATTCTAACTCTATCCTTGGCATCCTCTACTCTCATACCAATTAACTTCATGTCCTCTTTTAGCACACTACAGGTGCAGCTCAATAAATTAGAATATCATGGAAAAGTCCATTTATTTCAGTAATTCAACTCAAATAGTGAAACTCGCGTATTATATAAATTCAGTACACACAGACTGAAGTAGTTTAAGCTGTTGGGTCTTTTAATTGTGATGATTTTGCTCACCTTTAACAAAAACTCACCAATTCACTATCTCAATAAATACCACATAAGACCTATTAAAAAAAACATTTTTAGTCAATTGTTGGCCTTCTGGAAAGTATGTTCTTTTACTGTATATGTAGTCAATACTTGGGAGGGGCTCCTTTTGCTTTAATTACTGCCTCAATTCAGCGTGGCATGGAGGTGATCAGTCTGTGGAACTGCTGAGGTGGTATGAAAGCGCAGGTTTCTTTGACAGTGGTCATCAGCTCATCTGCATTTTTTGGTCTCTCATTTCTCATTTTCCTCTTGACAATATCCCATAGATTCTCTATGGGGTTCAGGTCTGGTGAGTTTGCCGGCCAGTCAAGCACACCACCACCGTGGCCATTTAACCAACTTCTGGTGCTTTTGGCAGTGTGGGCAGGCACCAGATCCTGCTGGAAAATGAAATCAGCATCTTTAAAAATCTGGTCAGCAGAAGGAAGCATGAAGTTCTCTAAAATTTATTGGTTAATGGGTACAGTGACTGTGGTTTGCAAAACTCAGTGGACCAACACCAGCAGATGTCATTGCACCCCAAATCATCACAGACTACAGAAACTTAACACTGGACTTCAAGCAACTTGAGCTATGAGCTTCTCTACCCTTCCTCCAGACTCTAGGACCTTGGTTTCCAAATGAAATA